AGCTGACAGGATGAAATGCTACCTTCTGGAAGCTGGAAGCCAATAGAATATCTGAAATACCATGAACTCTGGAATATAAATAGTTTAAGTTAATCCTCAAATGTTTCCAACTGCCCCTCTTCTTTTCCACCCCACTAAAACTCAGAGAACCACATCCAAATTATCCAGAGGTAAATCAACCAATTTGCTTTGAAATCATTCATTGCAACAGATCCCATATTGTCAGATACATTATTTCACTTTTACTCATTTCTCATAGTCAATTTGACTTACAAAGCTAAACAGGAAGTATTTTATTTCAAAGGGGCATTTTTATGATGAACCCTATGTATGGCTTACAGAAACACAAGCAGCATCTATCTCATGGTAAGAGCTCCTTGTTAATGAAAAGTAATAAAAGAAACCAGGTGTCAAAGTTATATTGAGTTTTTCTGCTAGTGCATGTAGTCAAATTGACAAAGCTGAATTCAGATGACATCATTTTATGTTTTCTTTCAGGCTTCAAATTATGAATTGACCATTCTGTAGCTGAATGACCAACATCTGGGGCAGGGGCTTAGAGGTCAGTATTTGGCACAAGGATATATATTGCTCCAGGCAGCTTCCAGGAAACCATTCCTGTTGAGGACAGCCAGGACGTGAAGGCAAAATGGACTGGAAACGTTACCAGCAACTCTGACTCAAGCAACCAGAAAAATGCTTCTAGGCCCTCACAACTAATGCCATTTTCTGAATTCTCACAAACTCATCAACTGGACAAAAGTCCTTTTGGATACACTGTGTAAGTTTTCCCCCAGTTCATACTACAAATTAAAAGAGAACTGGTTATGAGATACAGCTATACAGTGGAGCCGCTTGGGTGAACACAATGGAAGAGGGATGTTGTGTCATACTATTAACTATAGACCTTATGCTCCATGGAAACCTATGTATCAGTTTTCTCCTTCCCACACCTCTAAATGGGAATATGTGAGTTTTAAGTTCACTTTTAACACAGGCTTTAATTAGTGTAATGAATTAAAGAAAGACGCATTAAAGAAAGGGAAACAGGGATGAAGTAATTTGGACTAAGAAGGACAAATAATGATCTTGGATAAGTTAGTGTATGAGGAACCTGCTTTTAGGATCCATAAAAGAAGCTGGCTGCTCTGCAAAAGAAAAGCATAAAAAGACTAGCTGAAACTAAATTTTACACCTTATTTGCAGACCCTGGTGCATTCCAGATTTCTTTATGAGAAAGTATATGGAGACCCTTACTGTCTGCTCCAGGATTTTGAGGTAAGTCCTGACTGTTTCAGTCCAGCAAACCTGGAAGTTATGTTTGCCTTTTAAAATATTTTGTTTCCTCTTGGCAGCATGTCAATCCAACTTTAAAGAGTCACATGGTAGATAGCAGGAATGATACAAGTTGAAAAATTATTTGCAGTAACTATATTTGGGTTAGCTCCTTGTTCAATATCAGAACAAAGACTCAAGGATTGTGGGAACGCTTACTGGAACTACATTGTTATGGTTCTGCTTCACAAGTGTTGTGAAAGACTATACCAGAAAGTCCTGAATTACCAAGTTTATACATGTTTGCAGCTGTATGAAAACTGATTGAAACCATTTGGTTTCAATTTTCCATGTGAAAAGCTTTTCTTTGTGCAATAAACAGCAATAACAGTCATTAACAACCGAGTCTTAATCTGTCACTGCTTGTTTCGGTTTTAACTTTGGAAGCTTCTCTCAATTACACATTTAAGTGTAAAATCAAGCCAAAATTCAACTGCAAGAATTTAGCAATTATGAACAAGAAAATCATTTCAGAGTATCACTAAACTTACTGTGGTCTAATGCGACGTAAAAAATGCGTTCTATAGCATAGGAGAAATTATTTTTCCCACACTTCAAACAGTTGCGGAACACAGGAAAAGTCCTTCAGTATGATCAGCTTCTTATATGGAGAATGTCTCACTTGTCCAAAATCTTCTTTAAGGAAGCACAGAATTCATACTCTCAAGTTTCTCTCTACCCAAGCTTTCATTACTCTGGTTAAAGGCTATGAAAATACTAGCAAGAGAAAGAGGTAGTACCACTGGATTAAATTAATGAAAATGATAAGTAAAGCACAGGGCCATAACTCTGCTAAAGGGATATCAGTGACAAAAATCAGAGACAAAAGGGTATCCAAAATGCAAAAAACTCTGCCAGATGGCAAAAGACATTTTTGTTACAAAGATGATTTACATGGTTTCCATTGATTTCTGGAAGTCTTTAACATCGAGTAAGGACTATTATTGATGCTTTCACATTCCCAAAGAGTTTAAATTACAAATAAGGCTTGACAGAGCTGTCGTAGCTAAGACATCAAAAATAACGTGAAATTTCTTGGAGTGAAAAAAAATTTAAAATAATGGTATCATTTTAAGGCAGAAGTTTTTAAGGATGGACTTACAGCATATCAAAAATCTTACTTGCAGGTAAAACTCCTTTCCTTTACATACATATAGGTAGGTGTTGTGAGCAATAGGAGGAAAAAAGGCAGTGGTGAGCATATACACTTTTAGATGTACAAAAAGTAATTTATATTTCTATTTTATGCTGTTCTAACACAAATCAAACAATTTGCTGTGGCTCAAACAGTCACAGTGCTTCTGTTCAACTGCATGGATGGTAACATACATTTGCTGGGGCAGGCTGACAGTAGATGATCTTGGAGTGATGTTCCGTGGGATCACCAAAGCTCCTTGGCTTCTCCAGTCCCCTTCCACTCCTCCCTTCAAGTGAGGCAAAGACATGACTTCCCAAATGATAATACCTCAACTATTATCAGGCTACTACTCCTCCACAGTGGTTATGGTTACATGCAACTAGGTGGCCTTCTCGGAACAAAAACAATAGGTGCTTTCATTTCAAGACGGGTTCAAAGTCCTCAATCAGAGCTCCAGAATTACACACACAATCCAGTAAAAAACAGGTAACTCAAATGTCTTACTCTGCATCTTGAAATCTAATGAGCATTTTCACTGACAGAAAACAAACATAAACAAAAGACATACTGCCTGCCATCCAGTACTACAAAAATCCACTTTTTAATAGCTTGCAACTATGACCTGATTACCAGATTTGCTACAGAAATGAGGCTTTGCCATTTCACAAATCACTTTGGTACATCAAATCAAGATGGGTTTGCCTTTTAGACAACCAATTTCTAATTCATAAAAAACTCCAAGTCCTGGGTAAGATACACCAGTATTGGTGAACAGTCCTCAGCAGCCATTTTGAAATAAACTGGTTATTTCTAGCTTAACGTGTTCTGCAAATAACCACACAAAAATAAAATGTTTGAGTTATGAGTTCTGCTCTCCTTCTACTGTCTCCTGTTCAAGAGAAAAATCGGGAAATTTCCTTAGAATTCATGCTTCTTATTGGCTAGTTACCACTCAAAACTTAAGTTTTACAAGTGGGGAAAAAAAAAATTACCAAAATTTCAATTCCTGACAAGTTTCAAGGATCTTATAACTGGTGTTTTATACACGGCACTTTTTCTTTTCTTTCTTGGTTGTAGGGGAGTTCTCTGCTTCCCACTCAAAACAGCCATGTGTGACACAATCCACTGCTCAAAAGCTCTAGATTACTCTGAGAATAATACGTACACTAGTACATTTTGGACAGATGCACTGCTTCTCTCCCTCTGTCACTCTGTACATATATGATGACAGAGCTATACTATCATTTCTCTTGTTCAGAGTATTTAATAGACTCACTACATCAACTTCTGCTGCTGCCCAACGATCTAAATACAGATAGTAACTGGTAAAGAATCAGCTCCATCTATGTTAGTATCTCAGGAAGAAACAAATCTGTTAAGATTTGTACGTTTTTAAGACTCAACGTGACAAATGCCTGAACAACCTAGTCTGAATTCAGTGCTGACCCAGTTACAGGCAGGGGGGCTGGACTAGATGACCTTCATAAATCCTTTCCATTTAGATTTAGCTAGTCTGTCTGTAGCCTGACGAAATCCCAATAGCAAACAACTGTGCAGTTACTGAATGATTTATCTGGATGGGCTAAAGTTTAATACCAGAATGTTCAAATTACTCAGCTGGAAACAAAATAGTTATTCCTGCCAGGAATGCTTTAGCTTAAACAGATAACTGGGTTTGGTTTACAAACTGCCACTTGGTCACAGTAAGTGTATGTACAGTTTTACTTCAAAACCATTATAAACAGACAGGGTAAGCAGCAGTAGATGTGGTTTTACCTGAAAGGTGTGGTCATATAATACTGCAGGGCTTTTGTAGCAGGACACTCCCAGAATCCCACCATGTGCCCGAGAACATTGTCCAAACACTTCTTGAACTCAGACAGGCTTGGTGTTGTGACCACTTCCCTGGGGAGTATGTTCCAGTGCTCAACCACCCTCTGGAGGAAGAAACTTTTCCCGATATCCAACCTAAACCTCCCCGAGTCAGCTCCAGCTATTTCCTCAAATCCTATGACTGGTTATGAGAGCGAAGAGATCAGTACCTGCCCCTCTGCTGCCCCTTCAGAAGATGTTGAAGACCTCAAGGAGGCCTTCCCTCAGTCTTCTCCAGGCTGAACAAACCTAATGCCCTCAGGCCCTTCTCATAAGGCTTTCCCTCCAGACCCTTCCTCATCCTCGTGGTCTTCTCTGAACGCCGTCTAATGGCTTAATGCCTATTTTATACTGTGGTGCCCAGGACTCGAGGTGAGGTCACCCCAGTGCAGAGAAAAGCGGGACAATCCCCTCCCTCGACCGGCTGGTGATGCTTTGCCTGATGCTCCCCCCGGGACACGGTTGGCCCTCCTGGCTGCCAGGGCAGTGCTGACGCATATTCAACTTGCCATTGACCAGGACCCCCAGGTCACTTCCCGCAGCTGCTCTCCAGCCTCTCGTACCCCAGTCTATACACACGAGAAGGGTTGCCTGGAAGAGGAGGAGGAGGAGGGATGAAGGAGGAGCGGTGCATCAGGAGGAGGAGCAGCGGGAGGAAGAGGGGTAGAGGAGGAGGACCAGGAAGAGGAGGAGAAGGAAAAAGAGGAAGTTCGCTAGTCCACCGCTCGCTCTATGCGCGAGCCCCCGCGAGCATCGCCCCCCAGCATCCCACAGGTGACCGGGGAGGGCGAGCTTGCCACAAATATCTTGGGGGAGAGGTCCCAGGATTTTTCTAGGGGTAGGGTATCTTTAGATCTTGCAGTACTCCAAAGCTGAGGCTCGAATGCCCCTTTGGAAGATAGTGGAGGGTCCCCTGGAGGTGGTTTTTTTCGGAGGGGCTGCCGGCGACGGCTGCCGGCATAGCCCCGGCGGCGGGCGGAGGGATGCAGGTTCCGTCACCGCGGGGAGGGTTGGTCTTCCTGGGTCAGGCACCGCCGCCTCCATTGTCAGCCCACTACCGGCGGCGGGGGGGGGGACACAGACATTGGGTTTTGGGACCCACAAGGAGAGCCGGGTTGGGCAGGAACCGCGGGACTCCCAGAGTGGGGAGAGCGGAGAAGGGCGCTACGGGAGCTGGGAGACCCCCGACAGCGTGGAGATGGGGAGAGCACGGAGAATGGGGAGCCTGGAGAGAGGTGATTTCCCGGGATTTCTGGGACTCCCAGCAGCCTGCAGGGGGAAGGGACTCCAGCGACGCGGCCCCCCAGGGAGCCCAGCATACCGAAGCAGAGAGGCAAGGGAGAAGGGAGCCCTGAAGCCCCCGGAATCCCATAGAGGAGAGGCCCCAGATATCCAAGAGACCACCAGCAGCCTAGACAGGGCAGGGACCCCGGAGAGCCGGCACCCCCAATACACACGGAACCCCCAGCAGCCCAGACAAAGGGAACCCCCAGAACTCCAAAGTTGGGAGACCAGAGAGGGGGAACTTCTAGGAGTGTTTTTCAGGGCTGAATCTTGGCATTTTGGAGGCCTTTAGGGACACAAGATAGCTATTGACTTCTAGATATGAACTTGGGCAAGAGGACCCCCCAACTCAACGCACTCACACATTGTTTTCTCCCCCAAAACAGGATTTCTCATTCCCAAACTTTGACCAGATGGAGGAAGAAGCTGGGAGGAAAAGGAAGATGCTACAGGACACCCAGGTAGGTGAGGAGGAAGTCATTTCACCTTTCCCCCTCTCTTCTCCTTCATCTTCCAGCCAAGCATCACCCCCAGCTGCAGGACAACCCTGCTGCTGATGCCATCCTGCTGGGGATGGATTTGGGGGGTGATCTCCTTCCCCTTCCCTCTGGCACCAAGGGAAATCTCCTTCCTCTTCTTTCTTCCTTCCTCTCCTTGTTCCATTTCTTTCCTTCTTCCTCTTTCTTGTTTCCTTCCTCCCCAGGTAATGAACTGAGGGCAGAGACCATGGAGGACAAATCTGCCTGGCAGAACCTCGTGGAAGAGGCTGTTTTGAATGGCTCCACTGTGCAGGAAGCCACTGGGGAGGAAAAGCCACAAACATTCCCCACAGGAAGCAGCTCCAAACCTAGCACACAGTGCTCTGAGGAGGAAAGACCCACCCTTTGCCAGGAAGGCGGCCAGAGCTTCAGCCAGAGCTCTGACCTGGCGGTTCACCAGCGGCTTCGTGCAGCGGAGAAACCCTACAAGTGCTTGGAATGCGGGAAGAGCTTCAGCCAGAGCTTCCACCTGATTCGCCACCAGAGCATCCACACCGGGGAAGGGCCCTATAAGTGTCGTGAATGTGGGAAGAGCTTCAGTGATGGCTTCACCTTTGCCGCCCACCACCGGGTGCACACAGGGGAACGGCCTTACAAGTGCTTTGAATGTGCGAAGAGCTTCAGCCAGAGCTCCAACCTCATCACCCACCAGCGCCTGCACACCGGGGAACGACCCTACAGGTGTCCTGACTGTGGGAAGAGCTTCGTCCGCAGCGCTGACCTTGTAATCCATCATCGTATCCACACTGGGGAGAAGCCCTACGAGTGTCCCGAGTGTGGGAAGAGGTTTCGGAGCAGCTCAATTGCCAACAGGCATCAGAGGACGCACACAGAGGAAAGGCCCTATGAGTGTCCTGAGTGTGGGAAGAGGTTTCAGAACAGTTCTCATCTCATCAGGCATCAATGGACACACACAGGGGAGAGGCCCTACAAGTGTCCCCAGTGTGGGAAGAGCTTCAACCAGAGCTTTACCTTGATCAGACACCAACAGACTCATCGGGAAGGGAAGCCCTATAAATGCCGCAACTTCAGGACTTTGTCCACTGCTCCAACTTCATCACCCATCAGAGAACCGACCTTGGATTATCCACAGTAACCCATGTTGGGTAGAGACCTGGTGATCGCCAATCCAGGTTATCCATGTTGGGCAGTGTATTGGGTTTGTGTGGACAGGTCTTGGGCTCAGGGGGCTACAAGGGTGACTTCTGTGAGAAGCTGCCAGAAGCTTCCCCCATGTCTGTCTGATTTGCATCTGTACAATGTTTATAAAGAAGCAATGAACCATGTTTAAAAATTCCCTTGGCAAGGGATGGAGAAGTTAACCTGTTATAGTTTAACACATCAAATTCTACTTTGTAGCACAAAAACACTGCATAAGCAAAATAAAGAGCAAGATGTGCTAGGAACAGTGGGCTAGAACAGGGGGCTGTGGAAAGGGCCTGGAGAAAAAAAAAACATTTCTTCTCATGTGCAGCATTAAAGTTCCAGTCTCATCAGATTAGAGCGCAAGTTTGAAATGTTAGGGTGACGCTTTATGCTTGTAATTTAAGTAGCCTTTTTCCAATAGGAAAAGGCTGGAAAATATTCTACGGACTACTGTAATTTCAACATACAATAAATGAGTTATGGAGGGACATATTTAGCTTAGAAAAACCCTGGGGAGTAAAGGTTTTCATTTTCAACAGCAAATGACTTCTGCTTCTTCTGAAAGTGCATCTGATTTTGTTATTTTTTTTTCCATGAAGTGAAGAAGTTAGTCCTGTAACCCAGCTATACTTACATTTATTTCTAGTGACCATGTCATAAATCTAATCTGGATTAATAACCTAAAGGAAAAATATACATCTAGATCTATATCCATCTCAGTTCTTCTAAGGCCATAATTACAGACAGGAAAGCTCTATGTTGGTATTTAGAGAGGTGATGAGTTTTCTAAGAAATGGTAGCTTACAGTTTTGGTACCTAGTTCACTGAGCAAGTGCCTCACATTAGCAAAGCTCAAATCAGAGAATGGACTATATCCACTTCTTTTGAGGGACTCATGCCATAAAGGACTACAAATACAGATTTTATCACACTTCACCACCTGTATATAATTAAGAAGTGTATTTTGGACTGGTTTAAAATCTTAGATTGAGTGGGTTAAAAAAAAAAAAGAACAGGTTTTACTGGGTATAAATGGGTGTATACACTTTCCAAATTACAGTGCGTTGTAGTGTAGCCATTTATAGCCAGGCTACCTTTGCAGCTAGTTACACTGCCACACTTGCTTAAAAAAAAAAACCCCAAACAAGCACATAACCTACAAGAGAACTTCTGAATCTCTACAGTTACAGATCATAGTTTCCAGTCATAAGATTTGAGCAGAAGCCTACAAGACTAGATGTGAGATTCCTCCCCGCCCTTGGTATTAATCAGTTTGAGATTAATTAGCAGCTCAAGCAGTAGTCTCTCCTTCAATTATGCTCTCCCTTTTCCAGAAACTATAGAGTTGTATTAAAATTAGGTTGAACAAAGTATATTATGACCTGAAATAAGGGCTCATTCCCACTGGAACAGAATACAGTTGCTTATTGTACGAGCTTTGTACCCAAGTTCTGTATTTTCTCCTCTTCTCTTTAAAATAATTTTAGTTGTAATTTAGCAAAGTACTATTATATAACCAAACTATAAATATTTAAGTATCGATTCTTCTAGTAGCACCACACCCTCCTAAACACATTCCTTACGAGATGAGATTTTACAGTTATGAGGTGTAACCTGTCTTTTTTTTTGCCCCTGTACCCTGCAATTTGCAATTTAAACAGAACTGTATTTAGCATTAAAAATACAACTCTGTACCATCCTAAAAGTTCTGTCAGAAAGTACATTAAATATGATACCACTTAACCACTTTCTTAAATGAAGGTGATATTCCAGGGAAAAATTCTCTTACCGGAGCTTGCTGACAAAAGAGCTTCTTTGTGAGAAGGTGTTTTAACAGTGCTGGTAGTTTTATTTTTACATCCTCTATTCAAGGTCAACACAGATGGCACCATTTTAGCCTTGGGAGTGGATACACTTTGTAGTGCAATTGGGTCTTTCTTTAGTATGTTTTTCCCTGGAGTTGTCCCATCTTTCACAGAAGGCATCTGTTTCAAGAAAAAAAGAAAAACCAAAAAACCAGTAACAATACATCGCACTCACCACCACTGTGAGAAACTGAAGATCTCCCTTTGCAGCATCTGTAATGAAATACTGACCACCCAGGTATGGGATGTGCTTAGTTAGTCTCCATCACACTGTCCACATCGGCAGTTCAGAACCTCAAGGATCATCTCCTAAATTACCTTCAGCAACACAAACCTATTAGTTTGAAGCTAATCACTAGTAATGACAAACACACTAAAGAGGTTACAGAGGTAATTTTACATCAGAATTTCTTCCTCTTCCTCCCCAAACTCTAATTAAGCAATTCCATTACATGACTACACCTAATCTCAAGATCTTCACCAACAAGCTATACACATTTAACACCCTGAGAAGTTAGTTGTCCTGTACTACCTGAAACGTCACAACCATTACAGCAGCCTCTTGATCTAGGTCTTATGTCACGGCACAGAAACAGGTTAAATTTTTTCAGGTTGAGGTTCCATAAATAAAAAATTCAGGAGTGGACACGGGACAGGTTTAAAATAACTGGTTTATACGTATGAAACATCTACATTTCATACAGAATTCTTGCTACAGTTTATACACTCACTAATTCATGACCACTTGATGTACAGGCAAACCCATAAGACTGTACAGCTCTTTATATGCTTTTCTGTTACTCAAGCCAATATGCAGCAATTTGGTCATCCTGTTGCACTTTCAACTTTTGACTCCAATCCTCATCTTCATTTTCAGATGTTAATCTATAGTTTTCAGAAGACCACTTACTAAGTTTAGTCCAGCTGATTTGTCTACTGTATATCATTTACAGAAATCGCTCTATTGTTTTTCCAGGTACAAGCAGAACAATTAATATCACAAAGGTGATATTAATGGGGTAAATGAAAAGCATTCTCTTCAATCCTCAGCACCAAAAATAAGGACTGAAGCAGAATCCAAGCTCTTAAAGACTTTAGAACTAAAACAGACCATTCTTGCTTATTTAGGTTTTCAAGTTAGATTACTTACTCTAATAAATAGTATTATTTATTAATTTCTGGTGTAATGTTTCAAAAATTGATAGCTGCTTCTATTTTACCTAAGAGCTTCCTCCGTATACTGAGCTTTACTGGAATTTTTCTGGCAATCACTAAAGCCTGTCAAAAATTCAGACTACACCAGTTTTAGCATTAATAGCTCCTGCCTCCATTTCACCGATTTAACAAAAGCTGTTGAACCCACAAATCAGCAACAGGAAAAACTCCATATAGCACCAAGACTCCAACTCTCTGTCCTTACCATACATCCTGAGATCCTGGGCAACCCAACCCCAACGCTCTGCCCTTTCTTTCCCACCACTCCTTTTCTTTTATCCTTCTTTCAAGAGTATTTGATAGCAGCACATTTCTCCTGACAGGCAGCTGACTCATCCAGAAGTATTTCCCAGCCAACCAGCACATGCATACCTCCCGGCCAGGAAGTTTACACCTTCAGCTGGCTGACTGCCCAAAACCAGGTATATGCCCTCTGCATGAGAAATATTTCCTGGCTACTCTTAACTATTCTAATGAGTCCTGGTTCTACTTCAAACAAACAAACTCCCAAATTATTCAAAGGAGACAGTGAAATAAAATGTTTCACCAACTCATTGGTCTTTGGGTTTTGTGTGACTTAATGTTACTGTTAATATATGCACAACAATTACATAAGTAATTTTAAAAAGTGTAATTTAGTTCTAAAGCAGATTTGGAAGGAAAAGAAAATACTGAAAACAGCAATTTATCTCTAATGTCTATTTAAAGTTACAGCACCACTAGAATTATCTTGAAAAATGTGTATATTAAAAGCTATATTTAGAAAACCTCACCAAGTTATGCTATGAAATTTTACAAGTTTGACTAACTTAGGACTTGTTTGCTTTTATTAGGCATTGTGCACCAACTGCATTGTCTGTAAAAGACTACTAAAAAAAATTTTACATCACGGAATAAGATGAAGATGGAAGGACACTAAATCACAATTGAGGCCAAGCGCAACCAGTTGAAAGTAAAACAGTATTTCTTAATTTCCTTTATTAGGGAGAGACTTCACCTGAGAAATCAACATTACAGTTACATTTGTAGATACAAAGCCCATTCCACAGTTTCCATTCAGCACTGTGCAATGCCAAATTTCCTTTTTCCAAATGTACCAAACATACAGTAAAGTATGAAAGATAAAAACTTACCAAAGGAACAGAGTGCACGTCAAACGTTTCATTTGCCACATCTTTTACCAAGGTCGCTTCCAGAAGCATTCCCATATTGCTGCTTTGCTCTTTTTCACCTCCAGCTGGGTCAATATCTTGAGCACAAGGCTGCATTAAGGGGTCTGAACTTTCCATTTTATCATTTAGCATCTCTTCCGAGCTCTCTACACATGTTGGAAACACAGCGGAAACCAAGGAGCACGCCGAATGGGTAGCTCTTGCTTTGTCAGTGTCTTCAGGACTTTGCTTTAATGCAGGTGTCTTTGAAGCCTTGTGGGAAGTGCTTCTGGGAGGTGTTGTGGCATGTACAACTTGGTTAGTGAAGAGGCGTTTGTTAAGATGTAGCTTATTTACAGGCAATTCCACTTTTGAACCTTTAGCTAGATCTACTGTCTTTTTCAACACTTTTATAGAGGACAATTGCCTTGGGGAAGCAACTCGTGAAGGTGAGGAGACAGCTGACAGCTGGGGGGACTGGGGGGACTGTTTTAATGCTGCGCTGTCTCTTGACTGTAGCACAGGTCTAGACACAACCTTTGGCTTCACATTTTTGAAATCAGGTTTGGGAAAACTAACAATCTCTGATTTCTTTGCTTTGGTTATTGTTGACACAATAGGAGACCTGCCCACTGGTTTTCTTACAGTTTGATCTGAACCAGCTCTAAGCACAGACCTTTTATTATGTCCTCCTAGAAATGCCTCATTTGGTCTTAGTTTAGGAGACTTGTCTCCAAGTTCTTCCAAAGCTGAAACAGAAAAAGTTCTATTTTTTGATCGCTCTTTAGGGGTTGAAGTACATAGAGCAGAAGCACTTTCATTAGCCATAGGACTGAAGACCACAAAAGTTTCTTCACATTTCAGGTTAGGTATAGCAGTCCTCTTTAATTTTGGTACACTGCAAGATACAGAAGGGGTGTTGTGCATATCCTGAAGAGCAGCATTTCCAGAGATACTCTGTTCTTTGGTTAAGGGTTCACTGGTTTTCTTTGATACTTGTTCTCCATCCATTTTATCTACTGGGACAAGGTGCACATTATTTACAAGACTATCCATGCACATTTCAACATTGGAATTCTCAGTTTCATCATGGTCAGAGGTATCCCGCAAGGATTTCACTTGGTCATCTTCATTAATATTAATGCATGGTGACAATGCATCTCGCCTATAGGGATCTATACATTCAGCAGCTAGTTCTACAGACTGTGCTTCTGTTTCCTGTGATTCTTTATCAGTCTTGATAGCATTTTTCAGACAGTGTTTGACACCTGCAGAGATGAAATTAGGTGTTCTTTCTGAGCTGGTCCTATCAAATTTCTCTCTTGTACATATTTCAGAAAAGATTAGTGTTTCTCTCAGATGCATATCATCATTTTGATCAGTTCCCAGAGTTTCACCTGTAACATTAGTAACATCCAGTGTGCTCAGGTGGCAGCATGCCCTGTCATTTATCAGGGACTGCATGTTCTGCTCTGAAGCAGGAAGTGCTACTACACACTTAGAGTCTGTCTGACTGTAAGGCACTGTGTGTTTGATACTCTGATTTTGCATTTTTGCCATAACAACGTCACCTTTCAAGAAGTTTGTTGTTGCTTTCAAATCACAGTTCAAAGGACACATGCAAGTCTGTTCAGTGACAGAAGACTTGCAAGCAGCATCTGCATCTCCCAACAGAGCTCCTGTGCAGTTGTATCTGCCAGGTGTCTTCTGCAGATCAAGTACTTCAATACACTGCTGTTTTAAACGAATACTTCTGAAGTCACTTGTATTTTCAAAATCATCTTCATGCTCAGCCACTATATTCTGGTCAGTTGAATTGCTGTGTATCTTGGTGGCACAATTCTTTGAGGAAGGTGTAGCTCTGTCACGTGCGTAGTTATTTCCGTTTTCATCCCTTATAAGTAAGGAAGACTTCAAGCCATTCTTTGCCTTGTCATCTGACTTCCCAACATTCATTTTGAAGGCTAAACTTCAAACCATTTTCATTTTATACTTATTTAAAATCTCAGAGAATGAAGATTCTTCTGAACTTTGCAAAAAAAGCCCCAAACACAACAGCTTTTCCCTGGAATGTGTCAATTGTCCTGAACGATATTTGAAAAGCAGTTCTTTGTTTTCATGTTTCCCAAGAGGATTCAAATGTTCTGGAATTAAAAAGAAATTAAAAACAATTAGCCAATTAGGATGTTAAGACAGTAAACATTTTTAAGCTCCTAGTCATTGAATCAAGTGCAGACATTTTGACCAATTTTCTTAAGCAAATTAGGATTTTACAAAGATGTCATCCATGCACACTTACCTTCCCAAG